AGTTGATATAAACTATAAGCTTAAACTATATAGAATATGAATATACATTAATTATGTTTATTCAGTATTTACTGTTCAAGTCTCATGTCACTTTGCCTCCTAACTGATGCGGACAGGCTTCAGACTCTCCTGACTCTAATCTATATTCTATACAGCAGATATCTTAATAAAATATAGATCTGATCACATTCTTTCCCTCTGTAAAGTTTAATGGACTCCTTACCAAACAGAGGATAGAGTCCAAACTCCCTCACATAGAACAGCCCTCATAATCTGGTCCTAACCTAAATTTCTTGCCATAAACTATTACCTGTCTCAAACACATTCTTCCACACATTCTCTGAACAAATATTCCTCTTTTAAAAAAAGCTCTTCCTCCCTCTCTACCTTTAGAATGTCTACATATCTTACTGAACTCAAAATATAGGTCTCCTATTAGTGAAGTTTCCTAAGTCTTCCAATCAGACTGAATCCTTCCTTCTATTAAACTCCCATGCATTCTTGCGTGTATCTTTTATACTAGCACTCATAAATTTTATCAGACTAACTTGTTGACATACATACACTTCCTTCTTTATTATCATATTTCCTGCATCTCCTTACCAGCGCCTGTTGTATAGCAGGCATTTATTCTAAGTTGGATTTATAAAAGGATAAATAAACTACACAATATGTAAATCCTCAGAAGGGGAGAATGATCTTTTTATAAATCTCTCTGTGTAATACGTAAAAGACAGATGCGAATCGAAAACTGGTTGTCATTAAATATTTTCTAATAACTGTACCTACACAAGAGAAATTAAATTAATAGAAGAAACTTTAACACCTACACCATGTCAAACACTGTGCTAGCTGAATTACAAGCATTATCTCCTTTAAATTTCATTTAATCTGTAAAAATATCATTCATTTCACAGATTAAGAAACTTAAGTTCTGAGATATTAAGTGTATGGGTTACCTTGCATAACATGTCAGAGCTCAGATATTAACTAAGACTTCTTTCAGTCAAAATCCATGGTTTTTGCAGTAAAGCCTGTGGTTAAGCATGTCTAAATATTAGAGGGTCAGTCACCACAGTATACAAGAGTATGCCTCTGGTCTCAGACTGAGTTTACATTCTGTCTTCACCACTTAACTACAGCAAATTACTTAACCTCTCTGTCTCTCCCTCATCTATAAAATGGGGATAAATAATAGTATGTAACTCATAGGGTGGTTATGAAGAATATGAATCAGATAAAGTGGTTATTATACTATAATGCCTTATTCATTGAATACCTTTATAAGACCTGCTCATGATAGAAAATGCTACTAGAAATGCTGTTTGAAATTGGCTTTATAGCACATACGAATTTAGAAAAAAGCTTCTTATTCAATTTTCACACAAAAAACCAGGCAGAGTAGATATAAAGTCCTTAAAGTCCTATGTGGAATGAACTTATTTCTTAGTATTTTATCTGAAGTGACCTAAAAATTCCAGCTTCACCTTAACTCTAATTTTTACTATGCTACCTGACCTAGCATACCTTTTCAATTAAAATTCTTATCTCTGAACATACAGTAACTTATCTTAAACTGGTTCTTTGTTTCCATTTGAGATGGTATCTCCAAAACAGATGATAAACTAGTAAGAGTTCTGGCTAGGCAGTTTGGGTAGAGAAGCTAAGTAACATTCTAGCTTCTAAAGTCATTCTCATATTTATATACCAAACACTCTAAAATTTACATAACAAAACACATTAAAAAAACAATGATTAACACATTAACTACCATGTGAGTTGTATTTAACTCATGCTAGTTTTGAGCCTGGGCCTCATGAAGCAAAACCCGGGCAAAACCCTGCAGTTGGTTCATAAAAATCTTACTTGTTGATGTTCTTATTGTTACAATTAATATTTACAAATCAATTATAAAAACAGATTAAATGAATAGAAGTCAAAAATTTTGTTTTTCATTAAATTAGAAAGGATCACTCTGTTTTCAAAATTTTTACTCTATTTTCATAATAAAACACCATGGCCCTAAGGAAAAAATTTTTTTTCTAGAGTGGCAATGTGTTAAAAATATATAACCATTATACTCCTTCATTAATGGATAATTAAATTGAATGTATTTAGCATACAATTGCTTTTGTGAGGATTAAAATCTAATGTTAGGCTACCAATTCATATTAATTAATTCATATCCACAAATGACACATTAACTGCCAGTTTGATGATGTTCAAGCCATTTCAGTTACCCCGACAGGTCTACAAATTATTAATACTCTAAATTTCTGGCAATTCCACCAAAAAAAAAATTCTACAGTTGATTAACATCAAATAGAAACTTCATTCTCTAAAATTTTCAGGAAAGGGAAAGAAGTGTAAAAGATATACTTCACAGCTACTGGATTATAAGATTAGGTTTACAACTGAGATTATTTCCCTTCATTCTATTATTTATCCAGTCATTCATTCAACATACTGAGTTCCTACTAAGTAAAAGACATGTTTGAGGATATAAATTATATCCATTTCAAATATAACTGAGGCAAACTGGGCACAGTGGCGGGCACCCAGGAGGCTGAGATGTGAGAATAGCTTGAGCCCAGGAATCCAAGACCAGCCTGGGGGATACAGTGAGACCTGTTATCAATAATAATAATAATAATAATAATAATAATATATATGTGTGTGTGTGTGTGTGTGTATATAGATAGATAGACATAAAATTGAGGCAGCCTAAGGAGTGTATGTAGGGCCTGGGGCAAATTATTTGACTTGTCTGACCTTCAATATTATGTATAAAATGTAGGTGATAATAACTGTCCCCACTCAAAGATTTATTACCAGAATCAAATGAGGTACTAAAACATGGAATAGAAAAGCACCTTCAATTATAAGGTTATTAATAAAAATCTATAGTAATGTTATACTACAACTCAAGAGTTAATCTTGTCTCTGGGAGTACTGTAACAGACTTTGATTGTTTCACTATATGATTTAACGTAACAAATGTTTATTAAGAGTCTAGGCCAGCGCGGTGGCTCACGCCTGTAATCCTAGCACTCTGGGAGGCCGAGGCGGGCGGATTGTTTGAGCTCAGGAGTTCGAGACCAGCTTGAGCAAGAGGGAGATCCCGTCTCTACTAAAAATAGAAAGAAATTAATCAGACAACTAAAAATATATAGAAAAAATTAGCCTGGCATGGTGGTGCATGCCTGTAGTCGCAGCTACTCGGGAGGCTGAGGCAGGAGGATCGCTTGAGTCCAGGAGTTTGAGGTTGCTGTGAGCTAGGCTGACGCCACGGCACTCTAGCCCGGGCAAAAGAGTGAGACTCTGTCTCAAAAAAAAAAAAAAAAAAAAGAGTCTAATATATCATGATGTGCTCAAATACTCATGTGCTAAAAACCTTAAAAGGTATAATTACTTTCCTTAGAAAGCTTACATTCTAGTAGGGATAATAAAATTCTCAAGCAACCATGATATGATGCAAATTTAACAAGTATTGTAAGATTTATAAAGGCCAGCACACAAGAGAAAAAAAATGTTCTGGACTCACATATTTCAAAAAGCTTCGTAAGAAAGAGGTGGCATTTCAGGCATTGAAGAGTAAGTAGAATTTCTACAAGACAGTAAGAAAGACTTTCCTTGTAGGAAGAAAGCATGTAAGTAAAGACCAAGGCAAGTAGGTATACAGCATGTTCAGAAATTACAATTCAAATTAATGACTCCAGTTTGGCTAAAAAATAGAGTATGTGGGATAAAATAATAATTTAAAAGATAAAAGGACCATACTGATTTTATTGGAGCCAGGGACAGACTCAAATTTTGAAGGGCTTTAAATGCCTCCCTAAATAATTTAAAATTTATTCTGGAGCCAACAGAGTCACTGGGTATTTGTGAGACAAGAACGGGCAGAGAATGGCATAAAGACCTTTGTCTTTACAAAGCAAAATTGAGGAGAGTGACTGGAAGGGGGCTGGGCTGAGGGCAACAAGTCCAGCTGGGAAGTTATCGCTACAATGCAAATAAGAGGAAAGAAAGGCTATTTAGCACAGAGGTGGTGGGAATGAAAAAGGGACAAACTAAGCCTGAGATGCTGAAGGAGTAGAATCAACACTTAGGAGGAAAGTCAGGATCAGAAAGTTATTCCCTTAAAGGAACAGAACTTCGTTTACCAGTGAAAGTGAGTAAAAGCGCCAAGTTAGAAACTGTACCAAATTTCATCTTTAACTACCAAAGTCTAACGCTGATTTTAAAAATAAAAAGATTTACTTTTCAAACACAGCATTTAAGAGGACATAATAAAAGAGTCAGTCTTCTACTATAAAGCAATGAAACAGAAGCCGTTTCCTAAAGCAAGGCCCATTACTATATTTAACATTCTGTGATTTGCACTAACCTTCCTGAACTGAGAGGTGCTGTAGTTGGTTTAAATAAATATGTTCACTAAAATCTGCCACCTTCCCCCGCAACACACACGCCCCGCTCCGACGGGAATCTCGCCCCGCCTCAGACAGACCTTGTCCACACCAGCCTTACCGAGGGCAGCCTTTCCATTCTTGGAAGTCCCCGCGGCTTCTGGAGCGCGAGGTCCTGGGCCGGGGGATCCGCGCCTACCGCAGGGCTGCACGCGGAGCCGGAGCTCCAGGGACGTTCGCTGAAGGAGCGACTGACCGCCAGTCTGCCCACTGTCGTTCCGCTCTGCACGTCCCGCACCGAGGCGCACACTGCCGCTTTCATTCGCCTGACACACCCCTCTCAGGCCCTTTTTCCTCCTCCACCCAGCACATTCCACTCGTCGTTCATCGCAGTTACAACGTGTCACCTCACCTGCTCCCACCCCAATTTAGCTGGTACTATACTACGGGTCTTCGACACCGTGCCCTTCGCCACACAGACTTCACAGCAGCCCCGGCGCACGTCTCCTCCTGCTCCTCAGGGAGCTGCCCGGGCCGCCCTGCAGCCGCTGGCCTCCAGGCGTCCGCGCCTCCCCGGGAGCGCTCAGAACTCACCTCCCGCGCAGCTCGGCCGGCTGCGCGCACTGGGGTCCGCGGCTCCGCTCCGCCGGGCGCCCCACGCTGCCGAGCCCGCCCGGTCCGCCGCGACCGCTGACCCGCAGCGCCACCCGTTCCCGCCGCCGTCGCCGCCGCCAGCTTGGTGCAGCCCAGGCGTTTCCGGGTTCCCGCAGTCCCGTCCCCCAAATGCTCCGGCTTCCGCCTCGGCTCGGGCAAACGCCGTTCCCGGCTCGGCTCTGGTTGTCCCAGCTTGGCACTTGCCAGCTCTGTCCCTAAGGCGACGCACCTGGGCCGCTCCGCTGGCAGCCCCCGGGTGTCTGCTTCACCGTCGCGTGGCCGCCTGGGGTACGGTGCCTCCTGCTAGACACCTCCTGAGAGGCCGAGGCAGGTGGGGTAACTCTTGCCGCCGGCCTCTGCGGAGTTGTCGGTTTGCAGATGGTGCCACGGTGTCCAGCTGCAAAAGAAAGGGCGAAGTCCTTTGGGGCAAAGGACTCAGAGGAGTTGGGAGGCGGATCCGGAAAGGAAACGAACCCTCTCCTAAAAATGACACTGACCTGAAAACAAACCAGATTAGCTCAGGCACAGGCTGCCAAACGATAGTCTGGAAGAAGGCTTGTTCTTCCACTTCTCCCACCCCGACCGAGACCTCGAGGCTCAGGGGAACTCAAAGCGGTGCCCCAAATGGGCCTAGTGCCATTAACCAGGAGAGGAGAAAAAGCTGGGGCCAGAGGATCTCAGCGTTGTAAGGGATCAACCCCTTCCTGGTTGCCTGGATCCCTTAGGCATTACCGTTTAAAGGCCTTCCAGTATCTTTGTTGGAAACCTTCCAACCACTGCAGCGCATTATGGTAATGAACAGGCTGAAATTAATATTCTAAGTTCAGTTGGATCATCAAATAGTAGAGCAGGATTATCCTTTTCCTGTTAACACAATGCTGCTATAAATTAAGCTTTTTTCTATATTGCAGTGATTAAAACTACGTCCAAGAGAGACATACTTAGGAAAAAGAGAAAGTAGGAAAATAAAATCAACTAACTGCGTTAGAGTAGGATAACTGGCTTTAAATTTTTCTGTAATATGATCTTGGGAAAATTCCTGGATGGTGAAATATATATTAGATCTTAATATATGTCCAATTTTTTTGAAACCATGTGCCTGATACATGATAACAACAGCTAGGCACTATTCTAAGATCCTTTTATATACAGGCACATCACATTTTTTTGTGCGTTTTATTGTGCTTCGTTTTATTGCACTTCACAGACACTGTGTTTTTTACAAATTGAAGGTTTGTAAAAACCTTGCATCCAGCATATCTATTGGTGCCATATTTTGAACAGTATGTGCTCACTTCATGTTTCTGTGTCATACAATATTCAATAATTCTTGTAATATTCAAACTTTTTCATTATTATTACATCTGTTATGGTGATTTGCAATCAGTAATCTTTGATGTTACTATTGTAAGACTCTCCACAAGCAAAATGATGATGAATCACTGAAGGCTCAGATTATTGTTAGCATTTTTTAGCAATAAAGTATTTTTTAATTAAGGTATGTACATTTTTATAGACATAATGCTATTGCCCACTTAATAGACTACAGTATACCATAGGCGTAAATTTTGTATGTACTGTGAAACCAAAAAATTTGTGTGACTTGTTTTATTGCGATATTTACTCTGTTGTGGTGGTCTGGAATTGCCCCACAGTGTCTCCAAGGTCTGCCTGTATGTCTGTGTGTGTGGACCCATATGCATATATTCACTCGAAAAATAGTAGGTAATGAGTAAATATGTGATTGTAAGGGGAAGGAAAGATTTAAAATATTTTAAAAATACACTAGCAAGAAAAATACATCTTAGGATATACATTCTTTAGAAAAAAGATCTTTTAGTGTGTTCAGAAAGCTTTAAAATAATAAAAGTGAGGAGTGGAAGCGCTTACAATTATGAAACAGTAACTTCACTTTGGTACCTCGGTCAGGCATGAAATTGAAAATGACCAAAAATCTATGCAAAGAAAAGCAACAATGCAAATAAAGGGCCAAGTATATGAAACCCACAACTGATGATGTGAAATAAAAATATGAGCCTCAAAGCTGATAACCGAAATAAAGTAATACTTAAATTAGCTTTTCCTAGCTTTATAATTTATACTCCAGTAATACTGAACTTCTTTGAGTTTCCCTGTTTACACCATTCATAGTACTTATTTCCATTCCTTTCCTCATGCTGTTTAATAAGTGCAGAATACTTTTCTGCTACTCCTTCATACTTTTTATAGCTGGCCTCACTCAATTGTTAATTCTCAACTCAAATATCGTCCCAAACTGGAAGCATTTTTTTTGCCTCCTTCCTCCCAAGAGTCTGAACCCCACTCTGTGGTCCTATAGCATCTAGAGGCATCCATGTGTATATAGGTAATTTAACTTACTTCATTGTATTGTGATTCTGTTTTATATCTATCCTCTCATCCCAACACTTTCCTTGAGGTCAGTGCTATCTTATTTATCTTTGGATCTCCAGCACCTAGCACATTTTAGACACTCAATACATACTTCCCGAACTGAACTGGACTGGTTGGTAATGACGTCAAAGATAAGCCAGACACTACAAATGCTCACCAGGGCAAGAATGTCAGCTGAGCCTGAACTGCAAGTCTGGACGTCCAATATCTCGAGTCAGTACCCAAAGTCTGAAGCTCTTTTGATAATAACCATCCTATTACCCTTGAGTGGTTAGCCTACATTATCTCATTTAACTCTCACAGCAGCCCTATAAAGTAAGTATTAGTACCTGAATTTTACAGAAAGAGAAATTGAGGCTTATAGACATTAAGTAACTAACTGTAGTTTTCATATCTACTGAAGGATAAGCTGGGGTTCAAATCTTTATTTGTTTCCCTTTAAAGTGCATACTGCCAAAGGAAGAAAAAATGGGACAGAAGGGGAATGAGCATAGTATACAGAAAAGGTAGCAGACAGCAATAGTAGCAATAGAGGTAAGAAGTATCCGTGAAGAACAGAGATTACCATGAAGGAAGAGAGAAAAATAGCAATCTGGGACACTGGGCCAGATAGAAAAGCTTTGGCTTCTCTATTGTAACAGATTTTAAAGGCAAAATTTTGGCACTGTAAAGACAGCCAAAGCTGGGCATGGTGGCGCATGCCTGCAGTTCCAGCTACTTTAGGAGTCTGAGGTGGGAGGATTGCTTGGGCCCAGGAGTCTGGGGCTGTAGTGTGTTATGACCATACCTGTGTATAGCCACTGCACTCCAGTCTGGGCAATGTAATGAGACCCCATCTCTAAAAAACAAAAGAAAGAAAGGAAAAGAAAAGATAGACAAATGAGAACAAGATATCAGTGTGAAGGCAGCCTGGGCCTAATAGAACTATGTATGTCAGTGGTACCTGATTAGGGTTGCCAGATAAAATACAGAAGACCTGTTAAATTTGAATTTCAAATAAACAATGAATAATTGCTTGGTACACAATATTTGAAATATACTTTAAAAATTCATTGATTATCAGAAATTCTAATTCTGGATATCTTACATTTTTATTTGGTAAATCTGACAATGCTATCGAAGCCGTGAGTGCATTATAATAATTGGGGTTCCCTATGATACCTCAGAGAAATTAAGACCAAATTGAATTATATTGATGCAGTTTACACTGAAAGCATTGTGTGCTCACAAAATGACATTCCCCAGATTGATATCTTCAGGCAGAGCCAAGGCTGGTAATTTAGGGACTTTAATGGCTTTAGGTCAGAGGTTGTTAGAAGACCCAGTAGAAAATAAAGACAAGACAACACACGAGAAAGAAAGAAGGAAGGGACTATGATGATACACATTATTAAAGGATTTATATCCAAAATGGTTAAAATACATTAAAAAAATTCAGTGCTTAGAGAATTAAGCCTTAGGTTCCCAGGTATCACTTTACCAAATATTTTATTCCTATGCTATTATAGTTCTTAAAACTACTGAGTCGAAATTACAGCTCATGAGCAGGAAAAACCAGTTTGTTGTTTCAAGCTGCCAAATTACAGTGGTTGAATCTGGCTTGTTCTTGTTAGTTCTTTAGGGGAAAGAACCTAAATATAAACAGAACTGGAAAGGATTGCCAAAGATTATCTCCTTGTCCATCATTTACTTCCAAGAGGAGTTGAATGAGGTTACTTCCATTATAATAGCTCAACTGTCAAGTGATCCTTTAGTTCTGAGATGGATCTTAGAATTTAACACTGTATTGAACATGTACAGGTGTGAAATAAACTTACATTTCATTTCCTCCTTTGGCTAAGGAAGGGTGCTTCAGTGGCTTTGACTTGGCTTTTCCTGTTATAGTAGACTTACTCTTTGAGTCAGGGACCCAGAGGGTGATTTCATGGAAGTGAGGCCCTCTCCTCCCTCTGTACATTCAAAAACTGGGGAAATTACCCTGCATGATTGCTTCCTTACAGGGCTTGTTGACTCTGATCAAAGCTTCGGTTATCACCTGATGCTCTAAAGTTATGTTTCAATCAATGAGTTGGTTTTATCTCAAAGTCAGGGTTAAATATAAATGAAAGCATTGGGGATTTCCCTTTACCTTGGTGCAGTAACCTGACAAAGTCACCACAGGTTCCTTTGTGGAAGACTAGGAAGAAGGTGTACAGTATGCACAGTATGTACTTGTGCTGTTAAAGGGGCCTCTCAAGTCTGGGAATAGATGGGGGGCTGCAACTCTAACGCAGTTGGGCCTCTATTCACTGGTCCCAGCATACATTTGATTATGAAGTTCATATGCAATTGGATTGTGCTATTCACCAACTATTTCCCAATCTCTACCAGCAGGGCACTTCCTAAAGTAGGTTGCACTTTCTGGCTCTCTTGTTGAGTGGGACCACATGACTAGTTCTGGGCAATGAGTTGTCATTAGGCAATGTGTGTCACCTCAGAGCCAGAGAATTGAATTGCCAGTTTGTGACTGACCAGAATTCTCTTTCTCTCTGCTTTCGAGTCTGGCAATGTGTATGATCATGATTGCTTCATCAGACTGTATCCTAGAGTGAGGAGATATAAAGAGAAGACCCAGTAACATGCAATAAACATATAAGTGTGAACAAGAAATACATTTTTATTATTTATGTCACTGAGATTTTGACAAAACCGAGCATATATTGATTAATTTAGAAACTGATAGCCAGAGATAAGTGTATTTTAACAAAAACATGACTTCTATGGCATTGACTTTGGAGTCAAGTAACAGGGGCTAGTAAATTAATTTTAGAAGCTGAAAGAATCATAATCCATGCTATGCTATGGAATGTTTGATAAAACTATGACCTACAATAACTTGAAAGTTAAATAAAATAATGAACCTAATAAGCTCGTAGCTCCAGGAGAAGAGATTAGAAAACAAAATGTTAATAGCATGTGTACATTAATATTG